ATATATGCAAATTTAAGCCATTTAACCCTTTCACTGTAGGTGCCGTAATATTTCGGCTTAGAAGCCAGTGTCGGTGCCCTAATATTACGCCAAAATTCTAGCGGCTTGAAATCTAGCGGGAGAAAGCTGGTAGACCTACATGTGAGAGAATGTACCTTCGTGTCCAGTGTGTGTAGCATAAAAAAATCGGGGACCCAGTGGTCATTTATGGGAACGCCATTTCAGTAGTCCTTGTTCACCATGCCTCGCGGTAAGAAATACCTCACTGCCCGGCGAACTGGGACTCTTCTCTTCCCAAATGATAGTTCTGACACAGATGGAAGTGTCAGTGAAGATAAATTTCATGATTCTGAGGAGTTTGTGACTGAAAGCAATGCCCAGGACCTGCAATAGAAAACTTCCCATGAAATTATCACAAAATACCCACTCGTTTGAGGCAAGTGATCACTACCTAATTCATTTGCCTCCAACTAAGAAGAAATTTGTTCAGAAGAGGTTTTAGTTGTGCACATACAACAAAACTCCGATAAACACGAAAAGACACTTGTTTTGTGTGTGAGGAGTGTAAAACAGCACTGTACATGGCACCACGTTTCAAAGAATTTCACAAACTCCAGCACTTCTAATAACGTGCTTAGTGACTATATGTATAAATATATATTATAGAACAATAGTAATAAACAATTTTAAATAATTGTTGGTTTGTGTAAACAAGCTTTGCAAACATATTGACAATATTCGTGCGGGTATTGTGTCGCCGACGTTGCTCTCAGCTCACTTTCTGTCAGCTTCACGCCTCTATATCTCGGTAAGTACTAATTGCAATTTTCTTACTTTTTCTTTTAAAACTCAAAAAAATGTTCTTAAGATTTTGAAAAAAAAAATATATTTTAAATATTTTTCGACACTGAGAGCAAGTTTGTGATGAAGGTCTCTGAAAGGATTAGCCAGATCAAGATAAATCCTCCATAAACTAGTATAAATCCTCCATAACCTAATATAAATCCTCCGTAAATGTAAGCAACTCTCATGAGTTACCTTGCAAAAGTTTGTAAGATATTTTCTGGCAGTGTTGGTGTGTGTGGATACACGGGGTCTGGGAGGCATTAGCCGGGGGGAAGGGGCATAAGAACGATGCCAGCGATCGTAGTAATTCTGTTATTACCTTACCGCGGTTATTACGCTATGACTCGAGGAGGGGGGGGGGTCATACAGTGCCTGAAAATGGGAGGCACTCAGGTTTCATCCATAGAAGGATGGCTTCAATTCCTTAACTCAAGAATTCTTCTCCAGCATTGAAGGAGCCTAGCCATGAGAACTGTTATTTTAATGGTGGTAAATACTGACAAATTCCGCCAGATGCGAAGTAACTTTGACACCGTAAAATACTCGAGTATTTACGCTGATATTCTAATCTATTCAGTGAGTGATAAGCTGGAAATACTATGAAGAAATGCTTGGGATTTATCATTGGTGGCAAGGACCAAGAGACGTGTCGACCAGTACAATGACCCCGAGAATAGTATCCACGCTTGTTTTGCACTCTGTGCCCACACACACACACACACACACACACACACACACACACACACACACACACACACACACACACAGACTTACTACTCTTGCAGGAGTGAGTAGCTGTCCTAGCTTATTTACTGTCAACTTTGTTATAAAAACTTAACAGTTGCTAGCAACATTAAGTTCACAGGTTTGTGTCTGACAGTGATAATTTTTTTTATATCATTGTGAATGATAGCTCAGTTTCCCCTCAGCCGGGGAGGATGAAAACTTATTGTAGTATAATGAACGAACCAGAAAATCGTGAATACGTTAAAAAAAAAGAGAGAAAGATGAGAGAGAGATTTTGTTGTTAAAGGTCGAGAAGTGGTAAATAGGAACGTGCATGTTGTGTGTAAAGAGAGAGAGAGAGAGAGAGAGAGAGAGAGAGAGAGAGAGAGAGAGAGAGAGAGAGAGAGAGAGAGAGGAGAGAGAGAGAGAGAGAGAGAAAGTTGAGCAAGGAAGAGGGATGAGGGTTGGCAGTGCAGCAGCATGGCTTGGTTCTGGCCACTGCCCTTCGCTCTGTTTCCTCTGCCAACCCTGGTAGCTGCTCCTGACATTATGGCAGAGGAGGAGGAGGAGGAAGAGGAGGTAAAGGAGCAAGATCTTAGATCAAGAGCCCTTGAGAAGCATCAAGACACTTTCCTGGAAGAGTCCAGCATCTACGAGTGTAACTGTAAGGTCTGGCTGACATGTTGAGTCAGGCTGATCAGGCCTTGATTCACCGGGAGGCTTGGTCAAAGACTGGGTCGCTGGAGCGTTTCTCAGTAGTAGTAACCAGTTACCAGTAACCACTGTGCCAGTTGACTCACGACCAACCGTCTCTGCCTGAGTCACTGTCTGAACTCATATTGCGCTGACCTGGCAGTATTCAAAGACCCTCTCACATATGGGTACTGTGGGCGGCCAGTCAGTTGTACGAGAGAGAGCAGAGAGACTAGGTTACGGCTGTAAGGGCGCTACCCACATTATCTGTAATTATACGTACTACAGTATTCAAAGACCCTCTCACATATGGGTACTGTGGGCGGCCAGTCAGTCAGTTGTACGAGAGAGAGCAGAGAGACTAGGTTACGGCTGTAAGGGCGCTACCCACATTATCTGTAATTATACGTACTACCAGCCTACGTGAGTATTACTTTACCTAATCCACGTGTCGAACTCCCACATGATACGTTGACACCCGGAACGACCTCCAGGTAGACTCCACGTAGGCAGTTCCCAACTTGTACCCTATGAACTCAACTCTCAGATCTTTAACAGTGATAACACACTAACCCCGACGCTATGAACAGCTGATCCTCCCACTCATGCACTTGGCTAACTCTTCCTTCCTTCTAAAATATGAGATAAATATAGCTCTTATACCACAAGACGGGCAGCTAGCTACCAACAGTTGTAATCTAGTTGTACTTTTCCCAAGAACATCACTTCATCAGTGAACATAGTTCGCTGAACTTTGGTCTGGAAAAAAATTTCATGACAGATATTTGAGAAATATTGTTTACTCACAGATGGCTCCAACTTCGTCCTGTACTCTGCATTATGTAGTTTACTTCAGATAAAGTGTGTATGGATAACTAAAGTGTAATGAACACTTGTCAGTGTTCAATAATAACCTACATGTAGACAGCAACACAGAAGATTAATTAGTCTATATATTTCGATCCCTTCAGTGATCCTCTTCAGCAGATAAAGAGGATCCCAGAAGGGGGTCGAAATATACAGACCAATTAATCTTCTTAGTTACTGTCTCCATGCTACTACACAGAAACTCTTAGCTGGTAAATGGTTCTTCGTAACTCTGGACCCGATATAACCTTGTATGAGAGAGAGAAGATGACCTTGACAAACTATAGCATCCTTACCCAGTAACGAGGTACAGGAAGAGGAGCCAGAACGAGCTTTCAATAAGGTAATCTGAACGAGCTTTGTTGACAGAGATAATCACCAGAGAAAAACTGTTATCTACTTCTATTAAAAATATAACAATGAGGGTAATCAGTTTGAAAAAGCTATTTTGTCTCACTGATACTACTGCACCAGTCATACTATACTCAAGGCAGCCTTAAGAAGTACATTTGTAACCTTACTTTTTAAATCTGTGGACCGATAAGCCAGTGGAAGGCCTCGGTCAGATGACCAAAAGCTCCAGCTGCGGGGTCCTCATATGACTTAAGATCCGCGTCAGAAAATATTTGTCCTGTTTCTTGACAAACCTTACCTAACCTAAGGAGTTCTTCTATGTAATGGAAGGCTTCGGATTCCCGGAACTGAAGTTATTGTCCCCTTCCTTGGATTAAACTTATTTATCCCGACCTCTCCATTCTCCAGGTGCTAATTAATCCCTTATGGATTCACTAATACGATTATATTTCCAGGTGATCTATACAATATTCATGTAGACCCAGCCCACATGTGATCTCCCCTGTTACTGCTGCATCGCTTCACCCCTTCCACTCTCTCTCCACTATTTGATCACTAGCTTCCTTGTAGGAAACTGCAAGATGTTTTTACAACTCGACTGCTAAATCTCTGGCTCACCTTTTGGGTCTGACCTACTGTGCTTTCACTATTGGCACCCGTCCACTTGTGACCACATCTGCAGCTGCTGTATCTCTTCGCTCTTTCTACTGGTTCTACTATAAAAGACTTCGTTCTACGTCTTTGTATTCAAGTGATGGATCCCCTTGTGGGCGAAACGTTTCTCCATAAAGATTACCTGGAGTTTACCTGGAGAGAGTTCCGGGGGTCAACGCCCCCGCGGCCCGGTCTGTAATATTGTCACAGCAGATGCAGTTTAGGTAGCGAGTCTGTCCCGCGGATAGCGGTCAGAGGATCGAGCCTAAAGAACTTGGGCAGAATGACTCGCACGGGTTTAGAGCTCGCCAAAAAATTAAATCCTTCCCCCACATTCTCCAGGCGTTAAAATAAACTATATATGAAGCGTCAGCCATTAAAAGAACGTGTGTAGCGCTGCCAAGGACGGACCTAATGACGTCAATTCATCTGATGATTGAGACGAAAAACACATTTTAATTATTATCATCATCATTAGTAATCATTACCAGAAGAAAACTCAAGACTCATGGGGGTTCACATGGCATTTTGGGAATGGGAGGTAATCATCCTTGATCTGAGGAAGTCAAATCACTCTCATCGCGCTCCTGGGGTTACTATTATGTATATATATATATATATATATATATATATATATATATATATATATATATATATATATATATATATATATATATATATATATATAATATATATATATATCATTCTAGGCCTATACAGACACGACTAAGAGAAACACATACATCAAGTAGTGTATATGTGTGTATGTATACACACACCGAGAAACATACATCTTTCGGTGTATATACATGCTTGCAAGTGCGGCTAATAGCGAAGCATACAAACTCCTGTAGTCTCACCTGTTCCAGGGAGAACTTGTGTATGCTCTCGTGAGTCTGCAGGTGTGGGAAGGCATCTGTGATCTCAGGGATGGGAGTGGTGGTGATCTCCGCAGGTGTGACTGCTGATTTGACCTCGTTGGAGGAAAAGGATCTGCAGGCGTGTAGATAACCCCGTGTGGCACAGATACTCTGAGGAGTCCTCCATATCTGTTGCACAGCCCGAGACACCAGTTGAACAGATACAAACAATCGCATGATGCTGTTTTCCTACTGTACTCTCAACACCTGTTCGTGCTCACACCTGTGGTAAGACTGCGCAGGTAGCCTCTCTGTACGTAATATATATCACACATGTAAGTAGGTGTTTATCTAAACATTAGCTATGTATATGATCCTCTCACAGGAGGATAGCGTACTCACACACGGACCCAACACTGATATCCTGGCGACTGAATCGCGTAGTGCAGAGTACAAACTTTTAAGCATTACCGGCGACCCAAGGGAGCACAGCGACAGGGAAGATTCAGCCTTCGGCACGGGCCAACACAGCTGAATTTTGTAAGCTCCCTGCGATGTTTATGCTTTGCGTCAGAGTGCGTCTTCCAATGAGAACTCGGGTACAGTTCCACCCTCTTGATCAAGGTTTGTGATTGGTCTCTTGCAAGCAGGTATGTGTGTGTGTGTACTCTTCTATTTGTACTCAACTATTTGTGGTTGCAGGGGTCGATTCACAGCTCCTGGCCGCTTCTCTTCGCTAGTAGCTGCTAGGTCCACTCTCTCCCTGCTCCACGCGTTTTATCGTACCTCTTATTAAAGCTGTGTATGGATCCTATCTTCACTACTTTACTCTCCAGATTGTTCCACTTCCTAACAACTTAAAGGCTGAAGAAATGCTGCCTAACATATCTATGACTCATCTGAGTTTTCAACTTCTAGTTGTATCCGTTTTTTTGCTGCTTCCCATATCTGAAACATTCTGGCCCTGTTCACCTTGTCAATTCCTTTCGGTATTCTATACGTCGCTATCATGTCTGCTCTATTCCTCCTGTCCTCCAGTGTCGTCAGGTTGAGTAAAGTGTCGAACCATCTCTTGCTAGCCTTGCAACATTGCATAGCTCCTGACGACGCATAGAGCGCGCGAAAGATCTTGAGCTAAAGATTTCTATCTATCTATCTATCTATTTCTATCTATCTTGTTCGCCACTATACCGCATATTCAACATATATTTCTGAAATATATTAATTACTGCATACTGAAATATATCTGTAATTACGTAAAGAGCTAAAATACAGTAAAGCCTCACTATTGTATCTAATGTTATACTGGATTATTATTATTATAATCAAGGGGAAGCGCTAAACCCGGAGGATTATACAGCGCCTGGGGGAGGGGGATATGTGGAAGGCATTCAGGCTTAATTCGGGGAACTGGAGCACAGATCCAATTCCCTAAATCAAGAGCCCCTCACCAACATCAAGGAACCTTCCTTGAGGGGTAATGTTATACTGGAAATCCTGAAGAGAGAAGTGTATTAACAAATGTGAAAGAAATATGATAGAGTACCACGTAATTACCTATCAGGTTTCAAGGGATCTTATTAATTTGATGCCTCGTTAATTAACCTAACGGAGTATATACGAACCGAAATGCGACAAGAAATTTTCACAAGCATAGTTACTTTAGACTCGAAATTAGGCATATACAACAGCGGAGGGTAGCAAATAAAGAAAAAATGGATAATTAAACACCAGGAAACCAAGTGTGGAGGTCAGTAATATAGAAACTGAACCTCTGTTGTGTTCTAGTGGAGGTTCACGAGGCAGTGTCAGGGGCAGCCTACTCTCCCTGTGCTAGGTTAATGACATGCCCATTAGTATTAAATGTAAATTTCCATTGTTCGTAAATGAACAACCTCTGTGTCAGGATACAGTTAAACTACCATCAAGGGAGTTAGAGTCATGCAGTCAGTGGGTAACAGATGACATACTGTTTTCGTAACTGAAAAACAAAACAATAGAAGGTATATAATCTGGCTGAAAAGGGTATATAAATTTCAGGTGTTCCTAAAGAAGGAGCTACCGCAGTACCATCTTTAGTGACATACCTACGAATATCCTTCGATTCGTGCATGACGGGAAATAGCTAACAATATATTTAGATAAACCTGAGGCACGCATGTTCTTAGACTTAACTGTTTTATAATGTTAAGTAGAATCCTCCTGTTCTTCAAGATTCTATACCCTAACAAAAACAGATCACATCTCGCCCAGCGAAAGATGGTGACAGTCGTCCTTAACTCGGGTCCAGGGAATCATGTAGGACGGGATGAACTACGAAACTGGAAACGCTGAAAGTGACAGTATCAAGAACTGACACTCGACTGTGTATACAGATTTCTTAAGAACCAGGTTTGTAAAGGTTAAAAACGAAAACAAATAAGTATTAGTGAAATATTTTTTGTACCTACAGCCTCTGATTATGACTGAACTAAATTTTAATACAACAATACAGTACTGGAATTATTTTGATATACATACATTTTTTATACAGTTGAATTCAGTCACAGAGCTATTTAAGGTATACCAACCCCCCAGCATGCGATCCACATCCGTCGATTAACACCCAGGTACCTACTTAATGCTAAGTAAACAGGGAACAGAAGTGTAAGGAGACATACCCAGTGTTTCCACCCGTGCCTGGGATCGAACCACTGACCCCCAGTGAGCTAAGGGCGCTACCATCTGAGCCACGGAACTAGTGCTAAAGAACACCTAATGAATAAAGCTGCAGGAAGGGAGGAAAGATAATTTGGTTATGTATTAACATATCTATGCACTTATATGAGTAAATAATGTAACATTGATCAGACATATACGTTCAGCAAGGACGTTACCTGTGACCGTATTTACCAGGACTTTCTCCTCTTTTCTGCATCATTGCAAGCTCCTGATGTGTTGATTGCAACATGAAAGGTCTAGAGCTATCATTCTACTCCCCCATGGTTGTTATGCATCTTGTATCGCTTGGTTTGCGATATTTGCCACAGCCCGTTGCCCAGCTCAACGGGAACCCCAAGTGCAGAGGTCTGATGGAAGTCAAAAGCGTCCTGATGGAGCCACTATGCTACCCTGGAAGGATGGAAAGCAGATTGCCTGGGACTACACCTGTGCTGCCACATTGGCAGACACCTACTTGCCATACTCCGTAGTGGAAGGGGGTGGAGCTGCCAGTCACAGGGAGACCCAGAAGATCCGCAAATATGAAGACCTTCCCCCTTGCTATAACTTCATCCCAATAGGGTCGGAGACCCTTGAAGCAGGGCGCAAGTGTGCTCTAAAGTTCCCCAAAGAGCTGGGTGAAAAGCTCATCATAGAAACCAAGGACCACAGGGCGACCAGCTTCCTCTTTCAGAGACTCAGTGTTGCGATCCAGAGAGGAAATACCTGCAGCATTCTGGTCACGCGGCCCACCGCCGGGGAGCTGGACGAAGTATTCGAGATGTAGCTCTGAGTTACCTATGTTGTTTTACTTTCTATTGTATCTTTGTGAATGTTTTGTCAATGTATTTTGTCTTTAAATAAAATATATATTAATTAAATATAGGGGGTGGTAGGATAAAAATTCTCAAACAGCTTCAGGGAGAACCTTAAATTTTCCCTGAAGCAAGTTTATTATTTTCTCTGAGGATGAGGGTCCCTAGGACAGTTCTAGAGGTGGTACCTCCCTATATTTTATATTATATATATATATATATATATATATATATATATATATATATATATATATATATATATATATATATATATATATATATATATATATATATATATATATATATATATATATATATATATAAATGTGAATACAGGAAAGAGTAAGGTTATGAGGATAACAAAAAGATTAGGTGATGAAAGATTGGATATCAGATTGGAGGGAGAGAGTATGGAGGAGGTGAATGTATTCAGATATTTGGGAGTGGACGTGTCAGCGGATGGGTCTATGAAAGATGAGGTAAATCATAGAATTGATGAGGGGAAAAGGGTGAGTGGTGCACTTAGGAGTCTGTGGAGACAAAGAACTTTGTCCTTAGAGGCAAAGAGGGGAATGTATGAGAGTATAGTTTTACCAACGCTCTTATATGGGTGTGAAGCATGGGTGATGAATGTTGTAGCGAGGAGAAGGCTGGAGGCAGTGGAGATGTCATGTCTGAGGGCAATGTGTGGTGTGAATATAATGCAGAGAATTCGTAGTTTGGAAGTTAGGAGGAGGTGCGGGATTACCAAAACTGTTGTCCAGAGGGCTGAGGAAGGGTTGTTGAGGTGGTTCGGACATGTAGAGAGAATGGAGTGAAACAGAATGACTTTAAGAGTGTATCAGTCTGTAGTGGAAGGAAGGCGGGGTAGGGGTCGGCCTAGGAAAGGTTGGAGGGAGGGGGTAAAGGAGGTTTTGTGTGCGAGGGGCTTGGACTTCCAGCAGGCATGCTTGAGCGTGTTTGATAGGAGTGGGTGGAGACAAATGGTTTTTAATACTTGACGTGCTGTTGGAGTGTGAGCAAAGTAACATTTATGAAGGGGTTCAGAGAAACCGGCAGGCCGGACTTGAGTCCTGGAGATGGGAAGTACAGTGCCTGCACTCTGAAGGAGGGGTGTTAATGTTGCAGTTTAAAAACTGTAGTGTAAAGCACCCTTCTGGCAAGACAGTGATGGAGTGAATGATGGTGAAAGTTTTTCTTTTTCGGGCCACCCTGCCTTGGTGGGAATCGGCCAGTGTGTAATAATATATATATATATATATATAATATATAATATATATATATATATATATATATATATATATATTATATATATATATATATATATATATATATGCAAAACAACCACTCTGAAAGAATAGAGAAATTCCAAGCCCTTTCGTGACTACTCACATTATCAAGGAACTATGAAAGTAAAGCATCCAAGGAAGCTATATAAGGGGTCTGGCCAGCACCTCACTATCAGATCCCACAACGGTTAAACACCTGACGCGCGCCGGCCCAACTGGACAGGTCCTTTGCACAACTCACCAACAAACTATTCTACCCAAGAAAATTTAAAAAATTATTATTGTCCAGTGTATTATTAAATTCTATTAATTATAAATGGATCTAATTTATATAAACCAAAGGAAATATTCATATTATTGTCAAAACTGCTTTTTATGAAACAAGATTCAATTATATTCCTGTCGACCATGGACTTGCTTGATACTACTTTCTCAACTTTTTGAAAATCAATTGGATGGTTAAAATCTCTTACATGAATAAATAGAGCATTGGAATCTTGTCCAGTTCTAATGCTATATTTATGTTGTTTTAATCTTAGTTCGAGATTTTTACCAGTTTGACCAGTTTGATCGCAAATTTTACAAGGAATCTTATAGACACATCCATCAGCATTTTGGGGGGAATT